GCCGCCCCCGTACAAAAATGGATCCATGTGCAAAACAACCCACACACATTAGCAGACTCTTCCTCCTCATCTTCAGCCCACACAAACTCCTCAGAGAAGAAATATGTGGACACACACACACACACACACACACACACACACACACACACACACACACACACACACACACACACAGTCTCTAAAGGAGACAGTGAGTCACAAATTAACTCATCACTTTAGTAAACAGAGGTCAACTAGGGTTCCCCATCTCTGCACATCTACAACTTCATACAGCAGTTCACCCAAAATCACACTTTTATTGATTAATTTTATTTAATAGATGCAATAATGTAGTTTTTCACAGACTGGTGAACCTCTGCCCAGCTTTATTTCTGAGAGATTCAGCCTCTCTATAGTTCCCTTCAGAGGTAGAGACAGCCCCGGTAATAGCGGGACTRKCTTCTCRTTTAGTGGATTAGATGTTTTGCTAATTTTGGAAACCTTTTTTAGCGGATTGATTAGCCTCCACTAATTTTCAGTCCACTGAAAAATTTCRCGAGTGTAAAACTTCTACTTTTATGCCATTTATCACAAACGTAATAAAAATGACGCCCTTTTACAAGCAGGGCTGGACGTGTTGGGCACCATTTATGGCATGTAGTGTCTTTAGTAGCTAAACTTGAATGAATGAATGAATGAATAAATAAATAAATAAATAAATAAATGACCATCCATCCATTATTTTTACCCACTTCTTCCTTTCAGGGTAATGGGGGTCACTGGTGCCCAATACATCCAGCAGTCACAGTGCAATGGGGCTGGGTACACCCTGGACAGGTCACAAGTCCATCACAGGGACACATAGAGACAAGCAATATTTAAATAAATACAAAAAAATGACAGCATGTAAAATATGATAGAGAAATTATTTGTTGTTTGGCTAGCATTAAATGGGATTTATAAATATAACTCGATCAAAGAAATGTTTTTATTCTAAAAGGGTTAAACTGAAAGTATCACAAGCTAGACAGAGCTATAACTCTGGTTCGGATTGGTCGATTCGCCTCAGATGATCCCGCCCACCTTTAAATTAAATTAATAGAAAAAGGTTTGAGTCAGTTCCACCAGTTTTCAACTGGAGAGAAATGAAAACAGTCATCTTTGCCGTTAGCATTAGCTTCCACTAATTTTTTTTAAATCTGTTGCAGCACTAAGTCTTGTTTAGTGGATTAGTGAAGCTAACAGCGCAGGGTTGGACAATCCTGGTCCTCAAGGGCTGCAGCCCTGCATGATTTACCTTTTCCCCCATTTAAAACACACCTGATTCAGTCATTGCATTACTTCATGCATGCTCTGCAGACRTCTGATAATCATCCATTCATTCAAATCAGGCGTGTCGGAGCARAGAAACAAGTAAAACATGCAGRGCTGCAGCAAATTATTGCATTGCATTTTTCTTTTTACATTTTACACAACATCCAAACGTTTTTTGGAAAATGAAGTAATTTTTCTGCTGGAATATCAGTATAATGTAAAACTGTTCATAATCTTGTAAAAAATGTGTACAAAACAGTGGTGTCCTGRTATCAGCATTTTTATATATTTGTACAAAATGCCCCGAAACGCAGAATTGATWCCAGTATTGAAACTGGTATAGATRCTCAAKTGAACTCARTTGAATGASTTACTGTTTACATTTCAAGTGAAAAGTCTGTTAGTTCCATGTTTAAGAAATTTCTCAACAGTATGGATATCCTGCTGTATATTTGATTTATTTCAGTCCTTTAAAGGAGACGCCTTGTTCTAAATAAAAGGAAATGTGGTTTTAAAGTCATTGTGTCATATTTAAGTTCCAACTCATCAAGTACTCTGTATTGGTGAGTACACAAATTAAAGTACTCATACTCGGTTTGAAGAACAACTGGTCACCCTTAGCACAAAGCACYAGTTTAACTCATCTTTAAAACTAAAAGTTAAGAAGGGCCAGATTTCCTTCAACACCCCTAAATCCACCCACACTAATGGGACAAAGATTATTTTGAAGTTTTACAGCTTCACGAGACACAAATACTGAAAAGTTGTTTTTTTTCCTGCAACCAGACTAAGATGAAGACACCATGATTGTTTTGTGTTTAAATCAGATTAAATGATTTAATGTTCATTAAACATGAGTGATATACTGAGTCATTTGACACATTTATACTGAGTCAGAGTGGAAAAAAATCCCCCACTGTCAATAAACAATTTAAAAAAAAGGAGACTGAAAGCACATCTTTTTCAGGCAGTGACTAAAACCATAAGCCAAAAAGAACAGCTGAGACTAATTTGATCTGTAGCTGGAAAATGATTTAATAAAAACCTGGGATAAAGACAAAGTTAGACAGAAAATCAGTTAGATGCTAGATTTGATCCTATGCAGCAAAATTAGATTTTTTTAAAGTAAAAAACTTTCTGGAGCGCTGCATTAATAAATCAGTTGCATCAATCAGTAAATATGAAAAAAGCTAGAATACATGCTCCACTTGCACATACGACTGTTAAATCCAACCAGTTTTGATGGTGAGGAGAAGAGCTGTTGTTTCAGGTGATAATCATCCCCACAAACGAGCCCTCTGACCGTTGAACCRTTTCCTGCTCCTTTAAATAAACACTCAACCATTTTAACCAAGTGCTGCTCTTTAAACACGTGATTTTTTTCACTGCATCCAGTCTCTTTATTTAAAAAAAAAGTCAAAAGGTTTTCTGAAATCACTTATGGCACCGTCTTGAATGTTATTGGCTGCACCGAGCAGCTCTCTCAGTGGAGAAATAAAACCTCAGGCATGGAAGTGAAACCATAAAAGGCTGAAAACACAGTTCAGACCCTTAGACCTGCTGGAACTTTAAAGGGTTAATAAACATTGTGGCAGCGTTAAAGGCCATGGAGTTTTCATAAAATTCTGTAAACCTGAATAATTTCAAACCAAATGATTTAAAAGATTTAGGCTTTTCCTGTTCAAAGCATGGTTTAATAASACCAGGGTGAGCCCCCTGCACTGAYATGGAGGAGCAAAGATGGCAACCAAACAGGGCGACAGCTCAGAACTATTTAAGCAGCAAGCGCAACAAGGTCTGTGTCAAATTGTTTGCAATCTTTTTACAATAGATTATTATAACTGCTAATTGTTTATTTCATTCAACAATTATGTACAATTTAATTTAAGGAAAATATGTAAATTAAAAATAATGATGATCTAAAGCAGACCTGAGGTCAGTCAATAACTTTCTTTTTAAGTTGGAAGATTATGACTTAAACTACTAAAATATATTTGATTTACCCATCATAAATAAGATTTACCAATTGACAGCTAACATCAGCAGAGACAAGTTTCATATGGTGGGTGTGCAGCAAACATTTTCTAACATCTTAACATGTCAGGTTTGTCTAACAAAAACCTAAAACTAGTCAAATATATTATTTTACTATGTAATAACAGATCAGAGGCAAAACCAGCTTGTAATATGGTAGCATGATTGAGCAGACATAGCAATATATGCCACAGAAGCAGCTGCTAGCTGATRGTGATCAGTTTTAAGCTCATTTTAATTTTAAACTGTTACATTATTAGCTTCAGTTCTGCTCAGATCACATCCACATTCAGTTTAATAAGAGAAAATGTACTTACTTGAGACACTTTCCTGTTTCTCTTGTGTTGGTTAGTGCCACCACTGCTATAGCAGATCACAGACAGGTGGTCGAGACTCGTTTCTGTTCAACTTCATGATTTAAAGCAGCAACAAAAAGCTCAAATATTCAGTAGAGTCACTAGGTGGTGATAAAACTACATTACTGAAGCAGCAAAGCACACAAAGACTGACTCTAAAATGGGAGCCCCCTTTTTTTGGACAGTTTAGTTTTCTCAAAAGTTGAGGACAAGGTAAAGCAGACTGATGAATGAGTAAAAACAGCAACAAGTGTTTATATAATAGGCTGCTCCTCATTACCTTCTTTTTCCTCAGGTCACCGTGCGAGAGGCGGGGTAGACCTCTGACAGGTTCCAAGTCCACCACAGGAGCTAGGTTTTAAAGCAATTAGTCTGGAACACATTTGTGATCAACTAAGAACCATAATTCAAAGTGTTAACAGAAAACAGAAAGAGTGCCCCCTAGTGGCTATCTGCAGTATAAGCACCTGTATCAAATTTAAAACTATTTGGTATTAAATTTTCTTCCCAGCAGTTGATTTGTGGATTCACATAGTTCCTACTTTTGCTGCTTTATGTTCAAAYATAGATTTTTGTTAATATAGTTTTTAGGCAACAAGTATTTATTTATAGCTAACATGGTGTGCAGGGAAGGACTTACAGATAGACATCCTGGGAATGTGACTCCAAACAGAAAACATGGCAGCAATTCCAGCAGCAATATCGTACTACCTGCCACAATRCCTGTAAAATGGTAAACTCGTGGTCAAGTTTTATAAACTAGTGTTAGCATAAAGAGCTAAGAAGATGAGTTTAAAGTCTTTTTAGGAAGTAGTTCACTTTGGCCTTTATGTTGCTCAGGCTAACWGCTAGCTCATCAGTCTAGATGGAATTAAATTAACTCAGTTATTTAAGCAACAAATTTCTTTATCCTTTTTATCTACAACAGGTAAGATGTTAGTTGTGTATAACCTTTCCACAGAACCCCATTTCAAAAGATCTAAACTGTCCTTTTAAGCCTAACTTAACAGTCTTTGCTCCACCGGTGGRCAAAAACGGTGCAGTTTCTGCCTTTAAACGTTTCCAGATGCTACCGGGTTTTTCTTTTCTCTCTTTTTTTTCAAGACCAGGGTGTCAAACAACTGTTTTTGGTTCTTGCCGTTAGCTTGACACCCTTACAAAAAATAAAAAATGTCAAAAGGCTTTCAAGGAAATCCAGGGATGACAAAGGGTTATTTTCTTTCAAACAGCCGTTTTTTTTGTACCAAAATTACCCTAAATTTACCACCATGACCTAAATTGCCACAATAAAATAATAATAAATAATAAAGACACATATAGTGTAGTGAAATAATTTAGTGGAATGAACAATTTTACATTTACATAAATTATTCTATGACTGATGATTCTCTGGCTGCATCTTCCAGTCCTTATAAGGCATGACATGGTGTTTGAAGCTACTCYGATATGTTTTCATTGTTTTGTCTTTTGGATGGAAAAAGCTGTAGCGCCGGCCGCTCCGCAGAGTTCCCAGACTAGCACACATCCCAAAACATCCATGAGGAAGTCACACGTTTCTGGAAACTTCCCAGGCTGTCGTGGACGTCCTCATGGACTGGAAGTATGCGATGCTGCACCCTCCTCTTACAGTAATTCATCAGAGGAGGAAGCTGTCGGGACGTCCAGGCGGCACAGATCACGGCGGTGCACAAAGTGCTCTCAGTTTGCCTCGTGTCTTCATCTCCGTCTCCTCCTTTCAGTGTTTCAGAGAGTTATCCCCCACTCCGCCTCCTGTTAGTCTCAGGCTCAGCACAAAAGCGAGGCAGCAAACGGAGGAGGAATCTAGAGATTTGAATCAGCAGCTGTGAAATATTCCATGGATTTAGTTTAGTACCACACCCTCCATCTCACCGAGGATGAGTCATCAACACTCAGTTTTATTCTTTTTGTCCTTCATTAGACCACAGGTATTTGGAGACCCCCACAAAACGGCCTCCGAATTACGAGGAACTCCATTCCCTTCGCCACAGCCCGCCTGTGCAAACAAGCCCAGGTGGTCCAGGAGAATCCGAGAGGTGTTCGGGCTCCGCCGCTCCAAGTCCAGACGGCAGGGGTTCAGTTGAAGAGGATGGAGTCGGGGTCTCTGTTGGCGATCTGTGCCATGTGTTTGAGTATGTCCTTCTTCGTGATGATCCCCAGCAGCCTCCTGGAAGACAGAACGGGACAGACGGAAGAGAAGAGTCAGGGATTTGTTGTGGAGAGGCAGTTTGGCTGAGGACTTGGCCCCTGATTTAAAACCAGGGTTCAGTTCCTGTTTCAGACTTTCGGGATCATCGTTTCTTCCTTTTAAAAAGCAACGAACACCACTTATTTTTTACCATCASAGCCTACACTCTATGAAGTTTGCACCTCCACTACTGAAAACTGAGAAGAGTCATTTACTGTTTGTGTTTGAGTAAAGACATAATGTACTTTATTCCCACTTATCACACATTCTTAACGCTGGACGATCACATTTTCCAACCATCAGGAAACAAAAGAAAAAAAGTCCCTCACATGTGGATCTACTCTGATCTAACTTCAGCCAATAAACTGTCCATATGATGCAAATCTCCTGCAGAGGTGATTGCACCCATCAACAGGTTGCCAGCAGCTGGCAGGCGGACCACCAGAGAAGGTGGTGAGTGACTGAACTGTTCAGTTCTGACAAGATGTTTTGGTGAACCTCAGAACTCAAGTTCAGAGCAGTTCTCCCTGCAGACAGCAGACGACTTTTCAAACATGACGGGAATCATTTCTGATCCGGCAATGTTTTAAAGCTGCATCCAAGTATTTTAAGACTACCTCAGGGAAAARTAACTTTAAAGGGGTCTGAAGCTTTTATCCAGTTGTGAAGGTGGTGAGGGGGAATGATCAAAACTTGTAGAATAGTTCAGATGTAAAAACTAAGATATAAAGAGAGTTGGACTTGTACACAAAGAGAAACTAGGTGTGTACAGATTGACGTTTTTTGGTCTATCTTTATAAAAATCTATTGGACAAATTCAGAATCGGCAGGTCAGATTTGCAGGTCTTGGATGTTTGTAATACGAAGCGTCAGAACCCTTGTTTTAACGTTGTGTGTCCCTTCTCACCCGTTGTGTGTAACCAGACACTGGCGAAGCCCTAATTTCCTGAAAATATCCACGGTGATGTCCATGGGCGTGTGGTCGGTGACTGTGAACGGGCTCAGGTCCAGGATGCTCCTTAGGCGGAGGAAAGGCGGAGCTTCAGGCGGCTGCGGTGGGCTGTGCTCCGTGAACGCCACCAGGGAGGCGCCGACGATGCCGTCCTGACGCTTCCGGGCGTTGTCTAAAAAAAAGGAGACACGGAAAATACGAGACAGAGAAGTGAACATTTAAAATTTGTAACTACTTTAAGCTTTCCAAAAGAGGTTACAGATTACCACGTTAGAGAACACCATTTCTAGCTCAGCTTTAGGCCTCCAGCGTCTAAAGGACAAAACTATTTCTGTCCTGAGCAGCTGAATGAACAGTTTTTAGATATTCTGAAATCAGAGATGAGCACTGGTAGACTTTTATATAACATGTAAGCATTTCATTGAGGTCCACGCTAAAATTGGACTAAACTGGGACTTTGACATCTAAGGGTTAAGCATCCTCTAAACCAGAGATTCTTAACCCATGGGCCACGACCCAATTGTGGGCCACGAGCGCCACTTTGAGGGCCTCAAGAGAACAACAGTTTTTTAACTTTGGGCTGCAGAGGGTCGCGGGACCACTTCGATTTTGAATAAAGTGCAATACACTTTCTTACCACTAGTAGCGGTACAGCGCCACTCATGTTTAACAACTTTAACATGTAGAAGCTTAGATACCTGCCGAGAATGGAAACCTAAGCTAAGATAAGATAAGATAAGATAAGATAAGATAAGCCAAGACTTTATATATCCCACCGTGGGAAATTTGCACATTACTGCAGCTCAATACAGGAGAGGAAAAATAAAGGTAACCCATTAAAAAAAGGGTCAAAGTTTGTCACTAATATGAAGTGCAACTTCTGGTTCTACCATGCAATATTTTAAAAAGTTCAAAATATCAAATACATTTGCATACAGCTATTTTTTAATTTGTACTTTATCAAATTAATTTTTGTAGTTTATTTTTAAGCATTTTGAATGTATTTTAAAGAAACTCTAAACTTGTCAAAAAGCTGTTGTTACTGTTAAGTGTTTGTCACTAATATGATGAGCAGCTTCTGGTTCTACCATGCAAAAGTTTAAAAAGGCTATACTTTCATTTACACTTTATCAAAAAAATTTAGTTTTATTTGAAATATTTAAATTAAACATTTTGAATGCATTTATTTTATGACCACAATTTTATTTATTGAACTGTCTATTTTTGTTATTGTTTATGTTAAAAAATGTTATTTTTGTGTTGATAAGCCTGAGTGGTCTGTTGACTGACTGTTGTATTTGTTCAAATAATTGTTATGGGCAGGTTACAATATAAAAAAATGTTTGTCATAATTGTGTATTGTGATTATTTGACAAGAGTTTTACTTTTAAACTGTAAGTGTATTTAATTTAGTTTAATGCAAATACAATACAAATTAAACAAAAGATTTAGATTAATCATTTTGATCCGTACATTGGTAACGTCTGACTGGGCCTCGTGCCACTTTATGTTCAACAAACTGGGCCCTGAGGTCAAAAAGTTTAAGAACCCCTGCTCTAAACTTTATTCAGAGGTCTACAATTAGAAGATATTGATAATTTGTTAAACACTGCCAGTGTCAGAAAATAGATATTTATTTTATATAACAAGAAAAATAGTGAGCTACAAACTAAACCAGGAGCATTGACTAACATCTTAGTAGAGGTAGATTTTAAATATCCTAAAAGTCACTAGAAGGTGCTGGATGATGTCATCGCTCGATTAGTCTACATATTTGGTCACGTGCATGTGTGCCAGTTCTGGATGGCATTGTTACCAAATAACTGTTGTTTTTATGTTAAAAATTAGTTGATGACGTCTTTGAGGTTACTCTGAAGATGTGTTGGCACACAGCTCGCATCCGTGTCTCCAAGATGAAGCCATTTCCTGTTTGTGTTTATGAAAGATAAAAAGGCATATATGTATTTTCTTTGACAACTACTCAGTTCTCTCATTGTTGGACATGCTGATGTTTTTGGAGGAATTTCCAGACCGGGTTGGTGAAAATATTTCTCAGCCCTTCAGACCACATATTAATCTTTTCAAGCCGCGACTTAGTCTCAGTTTGTGCATTTTCTGGCTTTTTTTTTTCTTTTTTTTTTTTTGATTTACAGACCTGGGTTGTGTGGCCTACATTTTTTCAAGTTGTTTGGAATATTAAGCTATAAGGGTTAAATATTCAGGTTTAAATGAGGACAACAAAAGGACGATAAATTGAATGTACTGAGTCTAGTGGGAGTTCAGGGAGATGATACAAATAAGTACAGAGCGGGCAGGGGATAAAAGATAAAAGACCAGATCAAATTTTATAAACAGTTGGACTGAGCTGAGATAGGCAGCAGATGTGGATGCAAATTCTTGAGCTGATGTATCAGAAAGAATCAAAGCTTTCAAAGTGTTTTACTAAAATTGAGGGTAAACAGCCAAACACTAAAAAAAAAAGACCTTTAAAAGAAAAAAAAAACGTCTTTCTTTTTTAACTAAATATCTACTCAAACATAAGAACTCAGACCTATTGATATGAGCAGGTCTCTTCTGAGCACAAAGCCCACCAGTCTTTGGGACTCCTGAGAGACCACCACAGGGAAACCGCTGTAGTGAGTGCTCTCCACCAGGGTCTGAAAGGAATGACAGAATAATTGTTTAATAGACTCCAAAAGGAGAATCAATAAAACCAAAGTTCAATCAGTATATTTAAACTGAGGTTTTCAGTTCAGAGTGAATGTGTTCACACCTCCACCTCCTCCACAGTCATGCCGTCCTGCGTGAGCACGGCCAGGGCGGGGTCCCCCCTCCTCGGCCTCATCACGTCCACAGCCAGGCTGCTGTGCTCAAACTCCTCTTTAGGCTCAAGGAAAGGGTAACCGTTTAGTCGTATGTGAGCCTGCAGGATGAATATGGTTGTAGCTTTCAGTTTGAGGAAAATGCGTCAACGAAAATTTTGGCAAAACACACGAGAGYGCAAACAAAACCAAGGAAGTGACGTCTAAACAGGGATTCTGAAAAGCTGACACTTCACCTCATAGATTCCCTCCCTGCCGAGGGCATCTGCCACCCATTTGCTGGTCATGGTTGCGGCCATGAGGGGGACGATGTACTCCAGCCCGCCGGTCAACTCGAACATGATGACGACTAACGACACAGTCATTCGAGTAACGCCACCTAAAAAAAAGCCACAGGAGACGGGACGATGAGACCACCTGCTGAGGATCATCTCATCAGAACCTTATACAAACAAGCTATAAATAACCAGAAGMCAACATTCATGTTTTGCATGTCGGTAGCATATTTGACCAATCAGATATTCTTCTGCGCATTATACCTGACAAGATGGAAACAAACGGAAAGCCTGGCTCCTATAAACCATGATGAAGCCTGGGGATAAACTGAAACTAGATGGGTGTATTATATTACACATTATATATATTAAATAAATAAATAAATGTACTCCTTAGAAAAGTCTGTTGATTTTCTGTGTATGTATTTTTATTCTCACAATGTCTAAAACTGTCGTTTTTTTTTATATCAACCAAGTTTGGCCCTAAACTTAACCATGCTGGCTTTTCCTAATGTTGCTTTGTTGTGGCAGCCATCCAAACTGGATTCACACTWAAAAAAAAACTAAATGAGGATGAGAATGTTTTTTTCTTTGGCATAAAAAAAAGATATTTCTAGTAAATGTTCAAGTTCTTTAAACAAAACAAATGAACTGTTTAAATACTTCTCTTAAATCTGATAAATATAGAACAGGATAAAGGGTGAAAGTGAGTACCTTTTAAAATTCTTCTACAAAAAAAAGTTAAATGTATTCTGTAATCTCAGACTGGCAGAATTCTAAAGAAAAAGTTGTAATTTTTACGCCGTTGCTTTAATCTTCTCCCATAGACCATCCTTTACCACTTAAAGTATTTATGATTAAAAAGCTGGTAGATGATCAAAAATCACCTCATTTTCAACTAAAACAGATTTTTTTTCAGCTGTCTAAAATGGGAATACTTAAACAGAGTACTAGTGGTGTATTAAGTACTTGGGGGGGGGGGGGGACGACAACACAAAAACAATAAAATAAATAAATAAAAATAAAGCAAATTAACTTGGAAAAAAAACTTTTTCAAAAAGAATTTCACAGACTAGTACTTAAGTAAAAGTCATAAAACTGTTCACACCCACAAAGAGAAAATGAGCAATTTACACATTTTCTTTTTAAACCATCTTACATTCAAACTGGTTTAGTGGAACCAGTTGACARAACTTGGTTAAGTAAACTCAACGCTTCATTTTTAGAGTGTATGAACCACTCCTTTCATGATGAGTTCTGGTCATGTTCATATTTGTAACGTGTAACTAGGAGTTCAATTTTAAAGTACAGAAATAAAAGGGTTTTTTTTCAAATTACAGATCCTCAAAGAATTACTTTAACTTTTAACGAAGTACATGTACTTTGTTACTCCAACTCTGCTGAGTACAGACCTACTAAAAATATTTTTAGTTTAAAGTAAACTGGCTAGTAAAAGAAAAAGAATGACATCAACACATACTGGAACTCTTACATGAGTCTAGTGACCAAACAAAGACCGAACATTAAACTSTCCCTCCCAGCCACAGTCGGCTGTTTCTGCGTGGCTGAGATGTTTTCAAGTTGGACTGAGCTTATAAAGTTAATCCTCCTTGGCATACTGAAGCTCTACATGCTCAGAACACCACACAGAAGCACGAGCAAAACATCCCAAACGAATGTTTAAACAGCTGCCTGCTCCCAAACAGAGGAAAGCGTTCTGTTGCAGCCCAGACCTCCTAAACGTTTAACGTGACCTTCATTCCAAATGTTCTGATGAAAGAGGTGACTCCACTCCAACAGCAGCAGTTTGTTGAAATCGGMCCCTCACCTAAACAAGCAGCAGCTCCGACCATGGCGTAAAGCCCCGGAGTGATGCAGTCTGCTCCCGGGGAGCACCACCCTTTGAAGATGAGCCAGTTATGGTTGTAGTAAGCCAGCTGCTCCATGCCCACGCCCAGCAGTCTGCCGGCTATTGCTCCGATCGCCATGCTGGGGATGAAGAGACCAGAGGGAACCTGGAGGAGGAGGAAGAGGAGGAGGAGGAGGAGGAGGAGGACATTTATCTCCTGAAAAGGTTCAGCTTTCTGCGTTTAATTTAGGTTTTTAATTGAACTTTCAACCATCTGTTTCTAAGATATTTTGAGCTTGAATTAAACAGAAGTCAGTGTGAGGGTTAAAAATGACCAAAGGGGGGAAAAAAGGGTTGTTCTGATGTAAAATTTAGATTTGTATTAAAAAGAGTAACAAGAGTTTGATTTTGGAATATTTGGAAAGTTAGACATCTAAAAATTTAAGACATCACACACATATATTGTGGTAAAAGCTTCAAAAATTACAAAACTTAAAATGTGACCAATTAGGATTTCAAGTACCAGTTCAGTCAGTTTTTCCTTTTCAAAATATAAAAATTGCAAGTAGAAAATTGTAGTTTTGGTTTTCGTTTTTAAAACCTAAATGTATAAATCGAACTGATTAAAATCCAAGTTAAAATATAGGGTTGTTTTAATATGTAGCGATACCAGAAATGATGGAAATTGGCATTAAAAAACCAGCATTTCTTAGTTTTTTTTAACAATTGTTTTTTTATTTAGTTGCAAAACAAAAAAAAGTTTGTCATTTTATTTTGAAACAGAAAAATCAATGAACGAACCACACACTGATTCAGCTCAGGTTTCTTTATTTTACCAAAACCCCACTTTTGTGCAGAAATTTTACATAACTTTTTGCCAATTATGTTTTGGTTCTACAGTTTACTGCTACGAAAGTCAGCACATTAGGCATGACTGAACCCAAGCGAGGGTCTCATAATGTTTCAATGTTTATGCATTAAGACCTTTATAGCTGAGTAATCCCAAAATCTTAACCTAAAACTTGTTCTTCCCGTGAGACTAACGGAGGTRACTCACGTTGCTGTGAGTCACAATAAACATTGAGTTTCAGTCATTTGAACTGTTTATCATCAAAACAAACAGGATATTTGTTCAAATGTTTAAGAGTCAGTTAGTAGCAGCTTCAGTCAGTGTCTACAGAAAACTGTGCTTACATTAAAAAACAAAAAGCTCCTACATGAAGGCCCCCACTTTTCTTTCAACTCAAGTTGAAACATGACAGTGTTTGTAACAGAGATGAACTGTGTGTGTTAATAAACCAACCTTCATGCCAAAGGTAATCACAGTCATCAGCATCTTGAAGATCAGAGCCAGAGCCAGCTGCCACAGAGCCGTGTAGAGCCCTGCTCCAGCCGGCCGGTCGGCCAGGCTGTTCCCTGTGCTCGTTTCCGACATGTTGACTGGCTGCAGAGTGTGGAGGAGGAACCAAAGGTTTAATCAAAAYGTACAAACCACAAAACATTAAGATTGTTCTGTTTTAAACTATATAAAAACAGAACTAATATAGTTTACTCAGGTTCATAACAACCTTAATATTGTTACCATTAATTCATGTTTTGACTTCCCCCACAAGACAAGTCAATCCAACCAATCAGGTTAGGACAAACTCTGCTGACTGCAGGGACCCCTACTTGGTTTTATGAGATTTATTCACAACACACACTCTAAGGCTGTGTCCAAAACGACAGGCCGGGTCCTCCGGAGGACCCAGACTACCTGGTCTCGGCGGGCCGGGTCCTTGGTAGACCNGGAAGACCGGAAAAAAAGAGSCTGTGGATTTGGACGGTCTAGCCTCCCGTCCTTACCCCGGCGTACGTCTTGTCACCTAGCAACYGTGACGACGCTAAACAAGCAAACTTAAATCAAAACTAKAAAATTATCAATACATTAGCATTATTAATATCACAAAACTATAAAATTAACTTAAAAGGTATCATTTGAAGAACTAATTGACCCGCTGTAGGTTCATGTTTATTTCGCGTTTTTTATGACGAAAAAATAATATTTAAAAACATGTCCATACAAATGATAAAAGTATTAGAATTACAACCGCTAATTTTTTTWAATTTTTAAATCACCATATTTTTATTTAAAATGTATTCTTTTCTCTCGCTTCGTCCGCCATTACTAGCTTWAAAAAAATCTCCGGTCGGGCCGCAATGCATTATGGGATATGCTGGGCCAGGAAGGATCCATCAGACCAGTCCTTCGATTCGGGCCAAAGGAAGGACGTATTTGTCGGACGCATCGGAGGAGTCTTCGGTTTTGGACGTCCTTCGTTGCAGTGCTGTGACGTATGTGGCCGACGAATTCGACCTTCGGAGGACCCGTCCTGCCGTTTTGGACACAGCCTAAGAGCTACTCTTGCGTGGAAAATGGCGTACGCAAGGTTTTTGTGCGTCACCATTGGAGTCACCTCTGTTAGTAAAATCTCAGAATAGATTTTATTGAAACTTTCAGAAAGTAACCACTGGACATCAGCTGATTAACTTCTGAAATCAACCAAGTAATTCAAGCTATAATTTAATGCAGTAGTAGCAGAGAGTCCCTAATAACACCTAAATCCGAGTGTGACATCTCCTGTTGTAATGTTATTTTCAAGGTTTGACTCAAACAGCTGTATTTGTCATTTCTTTCTATTTTTAAAACACCAAATTAGATCCGGACCTGTGCGTAGCCGCAGAGCTGAGAGGAGTCCAGCAGCGAGCAGTCGTTGAACAGCTCAGAAATGAGCTCTGCTCCGCTCATCCGGGTGTAACTGTTGGGGTAGGCCAACACGGCGGTCATGGCTGCCACCACCAGCACTTCTACGACGGGGTAGTGCCCGAGGACGGTGGATTTACCTGCCGCGATCAGACGAAAACTGATTAAAAACACTCATCAAAAAATAAATAAATAAAACATCCTCAAGGTTGTGGATTAATACTCACGTCTTCTGCACCAGGCGATGTTAGCCCTGATAAACAGCGCCCCCCAGAGGCCTCCGAAGATGCCCAACAGGATGAAMGGAGCCAGCTCGATCAGGTGCCACGGGGCGTGAAACTCCACGTAGAACAGCACCAGGCGGCTGTTCCCGAACGGGTTGATGGAGCGCAGAGTGAAGGCGGCCACCAGGGCCGCGAAGAAGGAACGCCACAGGGTCTTCAGGGGGAAGTAATAACTCACCTAGAGGRGGAGAGGAACAGAAAGGTCAACTGAGAAGAGGCCGTGTCCAAACGCAGGGGCTGCATCCTTCCTAGACCGATTAAATCTCAGCGATACCTACAGCCCGTGTCCAACACCACAGATTAGATCTGTTACTAATTAAAATGTTAGAGCAGGAAAAAAAAAAAAAAGGTCAACAAAAAGTAAATCACTTCTTGCTAAATCAACAATTAAATCCCAGCTTATTTTCCCTCTGGAGCTTCTCGTTTCTCAACACAGAGCTGCCAAGAACACATTTAGCTTTCCAAACTAATCAGAGCAAACATCTTCTCACACTCTATTAGAKCTCAATTAACTGCCAGCTTTGTGCTCCTTCCAGTATAAAGTCATGTTCTCAAGAAAAAAAAGGCACCAAAGGGCTGAAAGCAATAAAAGAACAATTTCAGATGGACGGTGTCATCTGGTGGTGATTAAACTACTGAAGCTGTCATTGTTGTTCTAATGGAGGACGGGCCAATCAGGAGTTTCTGAGATCCTTGTGTCCTGGTTTCAATTGAATGAAATACTTTATTATATTACTGAAAGTACCTAAAGTGGAAATTTAGATGGTAGGGATAACCTTTATTTACTGTTAAAACTGATACAGGCTGAAGATTGTCAGATATATTACTGGTGGGGATTCATTTTTCAACAAATGAGTAATACTCACCTCCTCCAGACTGAACAGGACTCCTCCGATGGGAGCGCCGAAAGCCACAGACACTCCAACTGCTGCCGCCGCTGATAAAACCTACAGAATACAAACAGGCTACTGTATCAGACGACATAAGTTTTAAAAATAAAAACAGCATCTTTCATTCTTACATTTCTCAGTCAGAATCTTAAAAAAAAATAAAAGCCCAACATGTCCAYCTTGAATTTAATCTTAATGTTTTTATTTGCGGGCGATTCGCCACAATAGGATCATAAAAAAAAGAAGAAATTATTTCAATTCATCCCACATCTGCTGTCTTTAGGCCTACCTCTCGCCTCTTGGCCTCATTCTTGCGGTATTTGGTGAACAGATGGCAGAGGATATTAGCACAGCAGCAGGCAACGTGGACAAGAGGACCCTCCTTCCCTAAACTAAGCCCAGAGGAGACCGCTAAAACCAGKGTGATGGTCTTGATGATCAGGGTCCACTTCCCAAGGTAGCCACGGATGATAAACCCACTCAGGATTGTTTTAATCTGAAAAACAAAACAAAACCTAAAAGTTAAGACAATAAGGTTTGTGACTGAATGATTAGCTTTCCGTTTAGACTTTGGATGAGTTTGTGTTCGCTCTCTTGAATTCAACAACACAAATGCTTGTTTCAGGTTTATTTTCTTTCAACTAAGCCGGTAATCTCCTGAGCGTGGGTCGGCTGATCTGCGTCTGACCTTTGAGAGATGAGACTGGCAGGGAAAGAAAAAATAAAAGAAGGTCCAAGTTTCATGAAACTAAAAACTTCAGAGTCAGAGGGATGATGTTTGTGTATACAGGCGATAGCTTTGTTTGTGTGGAAAACTTGAGTGTAAGCAAATCTCCAGCTTTTCACTTCCTCAGGAATGTAGGCTGAAGGAAGCGGATCAAACAAAGGAGCTGACAAAAAATAAAARTCCAGCAAAGAGCTGAAAATAAATAAATTTAAATGGATGTTAGAGAGAAGAATTAAACTAAAATTAAGAAAAACAGGAAGTGAAAAAATAAATTAACATGATATTAGATATTATGGTCTATATATTGAATAAAGTTGAAGATAAAAGGATGATTCGGTAACATTAAACAACGGAGTTTGAGCTTTTTGATTAAAGATTGCAGAATAACACATCATTGTGGCTTTTATTTCAACCAGGAAGGACCAAAAAAATAAACTAGCATGGCTGCAGCCAAATTCAGGTTTCATCCTTTAAAGCAGTGGTTTTCAAACTTTTTTGCTTCCGGTCAACAAAACAACAGTTGCAGACACTCACGACCCCAGATATTACTTCACTTACGTAAGTTTTGCTAATAACTCTGTTAAACATGGGAATAACAATATAAAACATATCTACTAAAATACTAATTGTCTTCATTTATGATTGTTTTAAAAACTGCAATAATCATGGTGAAAATATTCCATTAGCCTTTTTTTTTTTCATTTAAATTGATGTCTGTAAATCATCTGGGGAAACTCACTTGATGTTTTGTGACCCACAATAGGATCCTGACCCCAATTTTGGAAACCACTGCTTTAAAAAGGACCTGGGGCCTCATGTATCAAC